CCCCTCCCGGGCTCCAGCGGCGCAGGGTCCGGAGGCACGGGGGCTGCCCGAAGCCGGTACCGGCTTCGGGCAGCCCGGCTCTTAAACAGAGCCTAAGAGGAGCAGAGCCTCCAGCCGCGGGGGCTCTGCTCCTCTTCGGCTCTGAGTAACTTATACAGTGAAAGTTACGCAGAGCCGCCGGAGCCCCGGAGGGGAAGTGCCCGGCTGGGGGTGCAGGGTCCGGAGGCATAGGGGCTGCCCAAAGCCCGAGCGCTACCGGCTTCACGGTTTGCCGGGCAGCCTCCAGACCCTGCGTCCCCGGGTGGGCGCTTCCCCTCCCGGGCTCCAGCTGTGCTGGGGAAGCGCCGGCTGGGGGCGCAGGGTCTGGGGGCTGCCCGGGAAAGCGTGAAGCTGGTAGCACTGGGGCAGCCCTTTCCCCCTGGCTGGGAGTGGGAGGGAGGAGGGGGCAGAGTTAGGGTGGGGAAGGGGCGGCGTTGGGGCGGAGTTGGGGCGGGGCTAGGAGGTGGGGAAATGGGTGGGGCCAGGGCCCGTGGAGGGTCCTCTTTTTTTATTTATGAGATATGGTAACCCTAATGCAGCCCCACTGGACTCGTGTTCTGGGATCCACCAGAAGTATCCTACAATTCCCCAGACAGACATTCTTTGTCCTCTGGACAGTCAAGTTTGGTGGGCAGTCAAGTTTTTCCATGCTGCACCATGAACAAAGGGTTAGTGCGGCCATAGTTTGGGAACACACTAGGAAGTCTGGGACATGGGTGATTGGACTCAGGCCTGCATAATACAGTGTAGATACAGGGTTCAACAATTCCTAATCTGGAGTTACAAATGAGTGTAGATGCTTAAAATCTAGGTTAACTAACCCAGGGTCTGCTAACTCGAGTTCTACTAACCTGGGCTTACATTGCAGTGTAGACATACCCTCCAAGGTCTTTTTTTGAAACAATTTAAGGATTTCATTTAAAGAGGAGTGATTCAAAGGCTAGTAGATTTTAAGGCCAGAAGGGACCATTAGGGTCATCTAGAGGGTGTTCAGATGCTTGAGTTTGGTCTCTCTCTCTCTCTCTCTCTCTCACTCACTCACTCACACACACACACACACACACACACACACACACATATCTTGCAAAAGTTTGAGGGTGTTCAGATGCTTGAGTTTGGTTCAGGCCTATCTCTACTTGTGAGACCTCTAGTGGACCCTGTTTCCAGGTAGGCCAAAAATATGGCAAGAGCAGCCTTTCCTTTTGGTATTTTGCCAGCTCCACTCCTTGCCTCAGATGGAACTGGGGGCATGTGAAAATGAGAAAAAAATGTTACATCAGCTTTTTCCAAATCTCTCATAAATGCTGGGCTTGGTTCCAGAGCTGGATGAATTCTCTGGCCTGTGTGATGCAGGAGATCAGACCGCATCCTCCTAATAGTCCCTTCTGGCCCTGAAACCTATGAAGAAACAAGGCAGTCAAAATAGGTTTAGCAATAACTATGGATTCCATTTACTCATGGAGGTCACGGATTCCGTGACTTTAAGGAACCTCGGTTACTTCTTCGACTGCACCCCTGCCGCAGTGGCGGGGCTGGAGCTGTCAGCCACCTGCAGCAGCAGTGGGGCTAGAGCCCCCATGACAGGCTCAGGCTTCAGGCCCCCCCCAGCGGTCAGCCCCTCCTCCCATTATTTTTTAGGTTGCGGGCTTCCATGAATTTTTGTTTATTGCCCATGACCTGTCCTTGACTTCTACTAAAAATAACCATGACAAAATATTAACCTTAGCAATAGCCCACCGTTCCTGACGTTGAACAATACACCGTCAGCTTTGCAGGAACCAGTGTGCAATGTCTCACCAGCTATTACATTGTATGGATTTTGAAGGGTGGAAGACAGTGGAGATGGGGCAACTGCTGAAAATATCCTCCCAGTTAACTTTTTGGTAGCTCTGAGTGGACGATGATTCCTTCACATTTTTGTTTAATTAGAGAGAAATGTGCTGATGTGATGGGAAGGGTTAACATAGCCTCTTAGGTTGGAATATGCATTTTTGGGAAGTAGGTGAGGGTGAGGCGAGCTGGTTTATATGTAACAAACAGTTGTCTTGAGTAAAGGTCAAGGTCAGCTGCTTTGCAGTCATGTCTTCACGCAGCGTTTTTGAGGCTGTCTCTTGCTTCTTAGTGCTATTGACTGAGGACAGATTCTCCTCTCAGTTCCAATATTCTGCTTTCCCTGTATCTGGGGTCTTTCATAGGCATCAATGAGAGTAATACATCCATCTTCAAAGGTTGAACCAACTAATTCCCACAGTCTGTGAAGCAGATAATTAGAATTAGCCCCTGTTTACAGATGGGCAAACTGAGGAACAGGGAAGTTAAAGCCAACATTTACGAATCCACATTCAGGCACCTGAATAACTGGCCAGATTTTCAGATTTTAATGAATGGAAGCTACAAGCATTCAGTGCCTCTGATGCTTGTGCCATTGATTTAGGAGCCTAATCTGTAAATGCTGCCCCAAGGCCCCAGTGGGATTCAGTGTCTAACCCACCATTAGCTATCAGGACTTCCAGGCCCCCAGCCCTGCAGTCAGGCTCTGCCAGTGATGGCTGATATAGGAGACTGGGGTGCCCCTTTCTCATAGACTGGCTGCAGATACAGTCCAGGGGAGGGGATGTCTGAACAGCAGCATTCCTGGCAGGTTCAGGTAGTGGCGTTAATGGGCTTGTCCAGGCATGAGGGGGGGGGGGAGGGAGAGGGGAAGGAAGAAGGCGATGATGCCTGGGTGTCAGCCCTAAAGGCAGGGCGGGATCCTGTGGTCGTTTTCTGGGAAGTGGAGGCCCTCGTGGGAAGAAAGTCCATCGAAATGTCCTGTCCCTAGTTTTACACGTGCGGGAAGGGCAAAGAGGGAGGCTCTTTTAGAGTGAGTCCGAGGAGGAAAAGCGACAG